CTATGACAGTGACCCACAACCCATGAACAGACACAAACACTTATATATGACAGTGATCAACAAACCATGAACATTTTCATATATATGTATTCATGTACACAACTGTCTTAACTCAAAGACACAAAAAAAAGTCATGAACAAACTACAGGCAAAATATGAGAACAAACAACCTACGACAATGACCTACAATCCATGATAGAACAAACAATCTATGACAGTGACCCACAATCCATGAACAGACTCATACATGTATATATATGACAGTGATCCACAAACTATGAACTTTTCATATATGTATGCATATACATAAATGTCTTTACTCGAGGACACAAAAAGTCATGAACAAACTACAGGAAAAATGATAGAACAAACAATATATGACAGTGACCCACAATCCATGAACAGACACAAACACTTATATATGACAGTGATCAACAAACCATAAACATTTTTATATATATGTACGCATATACACAAATGTCTTTACTCAAAGGCACAAAAAGTCATGAACAAAATAAAGGAAAAATGTTAGAACAAACAATCTATGACAGTGACCCACAAACCATGAACAGACACATACATGTATATATGACAGTGTTCAACAAAGCATGAACATTTTCATATATATGTATTCATGTACACAACTGTCTTAACTCAAAGACACAAAAAAGTCATGAACAAACTACAGGCAAAATATTAGGACAACCTATGACAATGACCTACAATCCATGATAGAACAAACAATCTATGACAGTGACCCACAATCCATGAACAGACACATACATGTATATATATGACAGTGATCCCCAAACTATGAACATTTTCATATATGTATGCATATACACAAATGTCTTTACTCGGGGACACAAAAAGTCATGAACAAACTACAGGAAAAATGATGGAACAAACAATATATGACAGTGACCCACAATCCATGAACAGACACAAACACTTATATATATATGACAGTGATCCACTAACCATGAACATTTTCATATATATGTATGCATGTACACAACTGTCTTAACTCAATGACACAAAAAAGTCATGAACAAACTACAGGTAAAATATTACAACAAACATTCTATGACAGTGACCCATAACCCATGAACAGACACATACACGTATATATGACAGTGAACAACAAACCATGAACATTTTTATATATATGTATGCATATACACAAATGTCTTAACTCAAGGACACAAAAAGTCATGAACAAACTACAGGAAAAATGTTAGAACAAACAATCTATGACAGTGACCCACAACCCATGAACAGACACAAACACTTATATATGACAGTGATCAACAGAGCATGAACATTTTCATATATATGTATGCATGTACACAACTGTCTTAACCCAAAGACACAAAAAGGTCATGAACAAACTACAGGCAAAATATTAGAACAAACAACCTATGACAATGACCTACAATCCATGATAGAACAAACAATCTATGACAGTGACCCACAATCCATGAACAGACACATACATGTATATATATGACAGTGATCCACAAACTATGAACATTTTTATATATATGTATGCCTATACACAAATGTCTTAACTCAAAGACACAAAAAGTCATGAACAAACTACAGGAAAAATGTAAGAACAAACAATTTATGACAGTGACCCACAACCCATGAACAGACACAAACACTTATTTACATGACAGTGATCAACAAACCATGAACATTTTCATATATATGTATGCATATACACAAATGTCTATACACAAAGACATAAAAAAGTCATGAACAAACTACAGGAAAAATGCAAGAACAAACAATCTATGACAGTGACCCACAATCCACCATGAACAGACACATGCATGTAAATATGACAGTAATCCACAAACCACATATACATGTATGCATATACACAAATGATACAAAAATACATAAACAAACTACAGAAAAAAAATTGTAAAATGTTAGAACAATAAATAACCGTGACCCACAATCCAAGAGGTTGAACCGATATGACAATGACCCACAAACTATACACAAACTATGGGACAACCAATATACCAATATATAGAAATATTTACCTCCTGGAGAATATTGATATACAATTCAAGCTTTGATACTATAATTAACAAGCATTTTGACAATCTAAAAATAAATTATTAAATTTTAGAACTAAGATTTGATTTTATTAACTTTGTTAGTGTAAAAATCCTTCAAAAAATCACACAAAATACGAAATCTGATGTACAGGTTCTAGACAGACATTACTTGAAAAATTGATGTCACTTTATAATTCTTTTTTTCCTATAGAATAGATATATATTTTATCACCTCTGGCTTGTGAACATGACTGTTTAGTCTTTATTTATCATTTATTGCATAAATATTTACATTTCCAATGTCTTTGTCCGAGATAAAATTACAAATTGTAACAAGAGGCCCAAGGGCCTTAACGGTCACCTGAGTATAATACAACAATTTAGAAGTTAAATACACTGATAGATGAAGCATTGTTGCCCTAGCCCCCCCCCCCCCCCTCCTCAAGAACCCCAAAAACTGAGGCCATATATTTAAAAATTTTGGAAGAGGCATCCTTGTCTATCATAATCATGCACTTAGTTTGTTTAAATAATCTCCAGTAGCAGAGAAGAAGTTTTTCAAAGAATCAATGCATTTTCACTATATAATCAATAGAGCCCCGCCCTAACACCAGAACCCCTGACCCTGGGGCCATGAAATTCACAATTTTTGAAAAGGCATCCCTATGCCTTTAAATAGTCTCCAGTAGCAGAGAAGAAGATTTTCAAAGAATTAATGCATTTTCACTATATAATCAATACAGCCCCACCCTAACACCAGAACCCCTGACCCTGGGGCCATGAAATTCACAATTTTTGAAAAGGCATCCTTATGCATCATAATCATGCACTTAGTTTGTTTAAATAATACCCAGGAGCAGAGAAGAAGATTTTCAAAAAATTAAAGCATTTTCACTATATAATCAATAGAGCCCCGCCCTAACACCAGAACCCCTGACCCAGGGGCCATGGCTTTCACAATTCTGGAAGAGGCCCACCTCCTCATCATAACTATGTACTTAGTTACTTTATTAAATACCCAGGAGCAAAGAAGAAGATATTCAAAGAATTAATGCTTTTTCACTATATAATTTATAGAGCCCCGCCCTAACACCAGAACCCCTGACCCTGGGGCCATGAATTTCACAATTTTGGAAGAGGCACTCTTGCTCATCATAACTATGTACTTAGTTCCTTTATTTAATACCCAGGAGCAGAGAACAAGATTTTCAAAGAATTAATGCATTTTCACTATATAATCAATGCAGCCCCGCCCTAACACCAGAACCCCTGACCCTGGGACCATGAATTTCACAATTTTGGAAGAGGCACTCTTGCTCATCATAACTATGTACTTAGTAACTTTATTTAATACCCAGGAGCAGAGAAGAAGATTTTCAAAGAATTTATGCACTTTCACTATATGATCTATATAGCCCCACCCTGGGGCCAGAACCCCTGACCCTGGGGCCATGAATTTCACAATTTTGGTAGAGGGCTCAATGCTTATTACAATGATGCCAACAGTTTGACTGCTTCATGTCCGGGAGTAAAGAAGAAGATTTTTAAAGATTGCATTATTTTTGGTGGTTTTAGCCCCACCCCTCAGGCCCCGGGGGGGCAGGGACCATGAAATTCACAATTTTTGTTCCCCTTCACCCATAGATGCTATATACCAAATTTGGTTGAAATTGGTTGAGCGGTTCTAGAGAAGAAGTTAAAAATGTTCAAAAGTTAACGCACGACGGACGACGCCGGACAAAAACAGATAGCAATAGGTCACCTGAGTGACTCAGGTGACCTAAAAATACTTTATTTCTACATAAATCTACTAGTTCATCGATAGGCGCGGTTAAAAAAAAAATCACGTGCGGGGCGGGACAAATAGAGACAGAAGCGGGGCTATTAGCATGGGAATTTGCAGAATCAGGAGCATGTAAATATAAGGAATAACTATCAGGTTTTTTGGATTCATGATGATGATCAATCGATTGGCTTGCGTGATAATTTTATGCATAAACGCCTTTGGCGTTTATGCAAATTATCACGCAAGCCACTCGATTGATCACATCATGAATCCAAAAAATAAGACAGTTAGCTTTTAATGAGTTTTATTAAAACATAATTTCACCACGCGAATTTAATTTCTTGTTCGTCGCACATCTGGTGAAAAAAGTAAGAGCGGGCAAGAGATTAAATAATAATATTATTACTTTTTTGTACGCAAAATTTTTAGGCATAACATGAAAAAAATTGAGTGACAATTATATTTTTTCTACTTTTTTCTGATTTGTAGAGTAAACAGATTTAAATTATCAAAAATAGAGCGGAAATAAAACAGAAACTGGCACAGAATTTCCCAGGTGCAGGAGATTTAAATTAATATTATTTGTATAGCTTTGTTCAAATAAGAGCGTGCGGGTCCGACAAGCAAAACATTAAATTGGAATGGCCTTTGTATTTGATTTTATTTATGAAAATTGATAATGGCACATGTCACATATTCACATCAAAACTTATCACATTATCACTTTTGGAATTGCAAAGCAGTGTATCAACAGACTTTTCATATTTGAAACTAATTATTTTTTTTTTTGCATAATAAAGCATAATTCAAAATGTACCGGTAGTATTTTCAGATTAAGATGGACTTAACTGTAGAAAAAGACAGTTTTATATTCAGTCCACATATCAGCTTCAGAGCAAATAATTAACCACACACACATGAACACCATTAGGGTCTTGACTTATCTGCGGAAAAAGTTTATATTCTGCAAAATGGTCTTCACTGGTTTGTGGAACATGTGCAAGTTTTCCATCAGGGTCTGCCTCAATAATCCAATCTAAGGAACATGCAAAGAAGAACTGACAATGTAATATAAGTTATGCTACAAGTCTTGTATTGAAATTTCCTCCTATATTTCAGAAGAGTTACACATACCTGTACTAAATTGCCTAAGCTGTTGAACATAAGAATTTACAAGGTCCTGACTAGTCTGTACAATCTGTGGAACATGTAGAAATGCTGCAACAGGGTTTGCCTCCAAAATGCTTCCTATAATATATGTGCAAAACAAAATTAATTGTGATTATATTTATTTTATATTTTACAACTACATTCAGATACCTTTAATGTATGCTATTTCGATGCATTTTGAATAGAAATTTAACATGCTATTAAATAAATGTTCTTAACATAAAATAAATTAATAAAAAATATCAAATAAACTAATTGTTTTTTTATATAACACTAAACAGCAAGGGCAATGGTCACCCAGGTGTAAATTGTACAATCAACTGAGAAGTCCTATTAGGTAGACCCTAATTGTAAGGACCATTATGACAATTTATAAAAGGATCTTGGATCAGGCTAAACAAGAAATATACTAAACTTCAAAGTTCGCAGAAATGTTCTTCCTATAAATATCTACTTGATGGGTTTTACCTACCGTATTATTTAAGAAATTCAATTCTGACTAAGTTTCAAAAATGTATATCAAAGTTAAGATTATCTTCACACCTTTTAGCTATTGAAACTGGATATAATAAAGCAAACAGATCCCACTGGAAATGTTTTTTTGTGTCATACTTGTGTCGAGGATGAATATCACATTCTACTAGTATGTCCTGTTTATCGAGATTATCAATGCAAATTATTTCTTTTTAAAAAAAACATCCATACGTATAAATTACTGCAATTGTTCAATACTAAGAACTTTAAGGATATGTGTAACCTAGGTAAATATATTTATTATAGCATGAGGCAAAGAGGTGATCCTGTACATATAATCAAATATCAGCTGTCTCATTTAAAGTCATCATTTTGTAAGTTCTATGGTCGATACAATGACCTTGTCAGCAAATACAATTTATCATTGAGTCAAATGCTGACTGACGTTTTTCATACTAATTGTTAGACCATTATTTACACACTGAATTGTCGACGGATTTTTCCGTTATTTCCCAATCATGACAAGGAGCACACGGCAGGTGTGACCGGTCGGCAGGGGATGCTCGCTCCTCCATGGCACCTGATCCCACCTCTGATGTTTGGAGGTCCGTGTTTGCTCTGCTCCTATTTTGTATTGTATAATGGACTTTTGAGCTTGAGGTCCGTGTTTGCTCTGCTCCTATTTTGTATTGTATAATGGACTTTTGAGCTTGAATACTGTTCGTTATCTCCATATATTTCATATCAAGGTGATCTTGTAATCCAATAATAATAATCACTCTAACCTTGTCTTAGAGGTATTATTTTCAATAATTTACTTTATTTAGGCCAAAAAAAAATAATAGTCTTGTTTTTTTTAAATTTTGGAAGAAAAAAATCTCGAATTTCCGGAATTTCATCGTTCTGTCACCATAATCGTTTTCTGTGTTAAAACAAAACAAGCATTTCATGAAATTCTTGTTTTAAATGTGGACTTTCATAGAATACCACTTGAGTTTAGTCAAAAGACATGAAATTTGATTTTAAAAGACAATATTGACCTGTGACATGTTTAATTTTATCTTTTATTAGTTCATATCCAAAAAATGTTGTCGAAAAAAAAAATAAAATGAAAATATACAATAAAATAATTTTCCTACCTACCTACCCTATTTTTTTTTTTCAGGCTGGTAGCAGGAAACAAGACTATTTTTTTGGTCTTATCTAAAATATGGATCACAAAAAGATGTTGTTTTTTCCCCATCAATTTAATTAATTCATCATTTTCACCAATTGCTATTTTCCTATTCTTGGAAAAAAAGTTCACAAATTAATATATTTCAATGTACGTGATGTAAACTTCAGAAACTTGCATCTGCTGAACATCAATTTTAGTGCCCTTGTAATCGTAGATTCGGGGGTATATAGTTTTTGCCCTGTGCATCCATCTGTCTGTTTGTCCGCAAAAAAAATCATTAATCATCAAGTCGTAATGTTATGACAGCATGCTTTAATAGTGACTACTTATACAGTTTGATGGAACCACGGACCTATACTATACGTCCCTGACAGAATGGCATCCAAACATCATAAACTTTTTAGAACCTGACCTTGTTATTGAAACATTTGGTCAATTGCTTGCATATTACAACTAATTAAGTGTTTTGGCAGCATTAATAATGACTGTTTAATGGGTTAGGTACGTACTATGTAATAATAAGTAAACATGACAAACAGCTGGCAAAGTCCTGTCTCAATAAGTGTCAAACTTGGTATTTTCTTTTGAATAAATTTTAATTCTAGGATCAGTCTTCTTGTGTTCCTCTGTGTACTGTACAACCATAAGGGTGGTTGTACTAATAAAAATATTTCCTTAAACCTAGCAAATTGTTTATAGTCACAGTAATACCTTACATCTTTGATTTAGTAAAGACATAAAACATACAGGGTGTTAGTTCCTTGTTTTACTATTGTTATTCACAAAATATTTTCATTATGGCAAGTGAAATATTCTGAAATGGTGGCCAAAATTTTTTTTAGGTCCTCATTTAGTGACCTGAAAGTAAGTGTGACTTGGAACACTGTTGGGTAAAACATTTTTCATCTCTTGACCTCTCAAGAACATTGAAAAAAAAATGCACTACAAAGAGGATGCAGCGTATCAAATTTGAAAATCCATTATTCTAAATATTTACCTGATGAGTGATGAACTCCAAGGAAGATTGTCCATTGGGCATGGGATCACCATAGTCATATCTGATCTCCTTCCCTCTATCAATATCCCTTCTTGCAAAGAAAAAGCCTGGAGTAGTTGTTAAACACTTTTAACTTCTCATAACATGCATAAGATGGGGTTGTCTATAGCTGCATCATTAACCTACTTTCCAAGCCTTTGGAAGCTGTCAGATGCATCAATGCTTGTAAAATGATAATGAAAACCATAAATAAAAAGTTTAAAGTTACATATAAACATAATAACATATATGATGAAATATTAGGACTGCAGGAACAATACAGGTTTTATGCAACAATCACAATATAGTAGTCACAATATATGAATCACAATGTATTTTTCCAAAAATAATTTTTGTTTCATACAATTTGCAAGAGTAATAAAAATCCCTGCCACTGTATGATATTGTTCAATTATCGTACACATTTTAGAGTGCAAGAAAATTATGTTATTCTTTACTCTAAAAAATTGTCATCCTAGTGAGACATGACACTCTGCAATTTGTTGTAAAGATATAAAAATCCAAATAAAAAACATAACGCAGCAAGGTTAAGGATGCCCACAGGAAATAATACGCCTAAAAATATTCCGAGAAAATAAATATAGTGTTGATTTTTTTTTTACAGCATGAGTTTTGATTAATGGGAATTCTACTATTTGCATATGTAGGAGGGTTGTCCCAGAAATACGTGAACATTTTCAATATCTTTTGTTTCACTAATACTGTAAAGTTAAAAATAGGCATAGATCATGATCAACATTTTTGTGAATTTTTTCTGGAAATGTGCTTCTGATAAAATTAGTTTATTTAAGCATAAATTCGGCACAGTATTTAATTTTATTTTATTTACCAAGTAATGCATCTCAAATATGGCGTGTGTTGCTAAAAGATTGTGGAATTAATTCTTTCAATAGACAATTTCTCAATTCCGATAATAAACCTAACAGTTCACATTGTTTAACGATGGCCTTGGCTTAGGCTTATGACGTAAAGCTCAGGACTTTCAGTTTGTCTTCATTTCTTTTGGTCTACAAAATGTCTCTTCCAGCACTAATATCTCTTTCATCGTATGGGCAAGAGTCCTATCCCGTTTTAAAGACAGTGCTGCTTAATAATTTGTGCTCCAAATTATCACTAAACGTCACCATTTTTAACAATATCTAATTAAAAGTGTTCTGGCATATAACGTCATATATTTGTCATTAATGATATCAAATTAATGAATTTTCATACACAAGTATATCAGCTAGATCAAAGAGTATTTATGGAGGTAAAGTTTGTGACATTATATTTCCGTATAGCCTGGTAATAAAGAAAAATTCACTGACAATGCTACTTTTAAAAGTCAATAAACTGCAGTGTGCAGACCACCGATATTTAACACCCTTTAAATGCCGTTTTTACATATTAATGACATCACAAGCCTAAAATATTTTGTCATAATACTGAAAATATCATTTTCCAACAACTTGCAAAAAATTATTAGTTCTGGTCAAATAGTTTCTGAAATATACAAAAAGTTTGTGTTTTCTGGGACAACCCTCATATATATGAGGTCTTTGCCGAGTTCGGCCAAAGCAACTTTACTTACATCAGCTGTTTGTCAAGTGACATGTTTAAAATTACAAAAAATATGTATGGCTACAAAGATCATAAAGTACAACGATATATGGATATCTTTTCACTATGAAATTAATTTTGTTTTCTTTAAGACAAATTCCTTAACCTGAAAAGTGCTGGGAGCAACTTCCCCATGCCTGAGAATTAATTTATGTAAAATTTTTGATAAACTTCCTACATTGACATAATATGCATTGAAATAATGGTAAAATACGGAAAAAAGCAACAGCGCACAACCAGCTCCTGGCACTTTTCAAAGTAGTAGGGATGTTACTACCTTTGTATAATAAAGTGCCCCAGCATGATACACCCGTCAAATATTGTTCAATTATCACGAACAGTTTAGAGTGCAAGAAAATAAAGTCAACCTTGATACAAGGATTTCCAAGATTTTTCCATTTCTTACAATTTTTGTTTATACATTTCCTGTGGTGTAGGCATTATAACAAATATTACATTATAGATCCTCAACTGGTAGTGTTAGAGCTTGACAAATGCCCATTTGCACCCCCCCCCCCCCCCCCCTCACACACACACAGTGACACACACACACATCTTTCATATTTGTGAGACATGATGCTCTGAAATTTACTAGTTGATATTTTCAAAAAATTAAATAAAAATATCATATTAAACAAAATCAATTTAGTCTTAACAACTTAATCTATACCAATTTAATTTTAAAATAAAAGACTGGCCATCAAATGACATATGCTATAAACTGACCAGCAGTTCTTCTGTCTAATTCCCAAAGGATACAGATAAGAACTGCTTGATCAGAGATGCTCTAACAGAAATGATTGAGAACAGCTAGCCTTCCTACACTGAACTCATTAATTAATCTTTAACTGGATGCATGTCCACTCATTACTCCCAAGGGATGAATGGATCTGTGCTATCTGCTTTGTAGTGCAATTAAAATGAATATTTATGTCATTCTGAAATTAAATTTGAAAACAAAGATTTTTTTTTTTCAATTTGTTACAAAGATTTATAAAAAGAAAAAAAAATTGTAATCTTGATGCAACATTTTTAATAAGGTTTCTGCTTGACTCTTAGATTTGTAGGGACTATCTATTAGTTTATTATACAATATCAAATTAGTTTATTATACAATTATTGTATCAAATTAGTTTTAATTACTTTTCACCAAATTCATTTTAAAAGTTAGGCTAGCCCACAAAAAAACTATTTAATCCAACATGGCTGATTCCTCTGCCCAATTCCCAAGAGATATAGATAACACCTGCTTGATCAGAGATGCTCTACCAGTTAGCTCCTCACACTAAACTAATTTCTTGCTAATTTGACATGCAATTTTCTGTTATCAAAATTCTCCTTGACCAGTGCTTGATAATTACACCCATGGGAGAGGTGGAATTTCTCTTGTAACATTATATTTGTTATAGATTGCTGTAAAGTATATAATGAAAAAAAATTAAGTATTTCTTGATTTTAACATCTTTTTAATAAGGATACTGCAACACTTCTACATTTTTTGGGATTGTGTAATTTAATAGTAAAAAGACAGTTTTTTTTTTTTAAATTTCACTTAAATTAAAGGTCACAGTGACCTTGAAATAGGTCGCGACACACCTTCTACCTAAGATGCATAAACTGGCCAAGTTTGATGATTATAAGTCTAATAGTTTTCTAGTTATGAGCCGGACAGGATTTTTCCATATTTGGCCATAGCATCTTAATTAAAGGTCAGAACGACCTACTTTTAGTGCGTGACACACCTTCTACCAAAGAAGTATCAGCTGACAAAGTTTGATAATCCTAGGCCTAATAGTATTAAAGTTATGAGCCGGACACGAGAAAGGCTAACAGACAGACAGACAGACGGACATGAACGCCATAACATAATACGTTCCGTCTAAAGACGGGCGTATAAAAATTCATAAATTATAGTGAAGCAGATATCGTTGAACTTTTGAGATTTTCGAGGGGCTGTGCCTGTTATTCTAGATAGTTAATGTATAAATGTGCCTTACTGTGGCTTTATATGAGGTCTACACATTTTCAATTTAAGGCCTAAAAAAAAAATAAGTTTGTTTCCTGTAACCCGACCGACCCATTCAAATTATCCCCCGGCGGATTTTTTTTTCCTGCCAAATCTGCATTTGCTCTTTGGTTCGATCGATCAGCTGATTCCATTTATTCAAAAAATATTAATTGTAGCTTTATTTGAGATACAAAATATGTCATCCTAGTCAACATTTACCTTGAATATAAAGAGTAATCATTATTGTAACAACAATTTCCACCCACAACTTTTAGAATTTCGTTCTCTGCCGCTAAGCAGCCATTTTGGGTGTCCACTTTAAATATAACACCTGGTTAATTCAGTCTGGGGATGTTTGACCCTTTTATCCATAAGCAAAAAAAAAAAAAAAAAAAAAATCCCGACCTACCGACCCTTGATTTTTTGGGAATGTTACAGGAAGCAAACAATTTTTTTAGGCCTAATTAGACTATAAAATATTGATTAATACATTCAAAAATATGACTTAGTTTTGGTCAGATCACACTTATTTTAATTTGATATTTACAAGCTACAATAATAGCTTGATCTACGCCTCAAGTACAGAGAAACTGTCTGTCAAACTAGGGTGTGACGTCATCTTAGTCAGTGCAGGAAGGTCAAGATGGCTTAAATTCTACATTCAAATAGTGTTATTATGACATGATAAGTTACACATCAATTTATGTTTACAATATTTATCATGTTATGAGAAAAGACTGTATTTGAGTGTGTATGAAAAAGAAAACATTAGTATTTAGGATTTATTTGTTCAGTTTCATTGTGACGTCATAATCGATTTCCAGAAGCTCTGCATATAGGCTGATGTAAGTATGGGAGTCCTAAACCTAGCTGCGTATACAATATATATATATATTTTTATATAATTAGTTTTGATTACTTGTTAAATATACAATATCAAATTAGTTTTAATTATATTATATACTAAAAGATTAGTTTTATTTACTTTACAACAAATTTATCTTGAAAGTTAGACTAGACAAGAAAGTCGACTTTTGCACTCAGCGAGCAGAGTTTTGACACTGTTTACGGAAATAAAAGAAAATTAATAAATAAGACAAACATGTCATAGATAGTTGTGTAGATAAATTATCGTAGAGGACAATGGTAATAAACAGTTTGCCAGTGCATTTCCTCTGAAAGTGTAAATAAGTTCAATTTTGGGGAAGGGGGGGGGGGGGGGGGGTACTCAATGTAATATGGATTTGGATACCTTGTGTTATCATCATACTATGGGTTGAAAAATTTATTACCAAAACAAGTGCCTGTAATACCAGCTGTTAAAAATCAGTATGGGCCACTACCATTTTAGAACTAGTAGCCTCTTCAGCGACCAGTTTTAAAGGCTGATATTTTTAACCGAACAGTTTTCTCTGGTGAGGGGAGGGACTAAGATTTTCCCAGAGGCTGATCGTGTATGGTGTTAATACCTATACACACACAGTATACACAGGAAGTCCTTGTTACCTGTGGGAACTTTTATACATATATTTCTAAAAGATGATAAATTTTTTAA